TTTGAAATCGGCAATGACTTAGTTGCCAACCTAATAATATGACATTGTGATTAGCCTAAGTGGAAATGGAATGCAATAAGCAATGTCTGGAAAGGTACAATAGAGGTGATGGGTGGTCAGTGGTCATAATGTGAACACAAAAGGGGACAAGTAGAGGAGCTTAAAGCATTTGTTTCAACGCTGAAAACTATGCGGTTACTAGGAGACTAATCTAGGAAAGGCTTTGGCTACAAGCACATCGGCATGTGGGTTTAATATAAATATAGAGTCATAAAACAGGAAACGAGACTTCAGCTACTAAGAGAATGAATAGGGAGGTGAACCTCTCCAATCAAAGAAGGAGTGGCATAATCACCTCTGTCTGGAATGTGCGAAAGGAGGGAGTCCGGGCAATGGGAGGACCAGCGAACTAAGACAAGCATATGCTTGCAGTCAAATTACGGCACGAACTAAATCAAATTTGAAATGGCTTGAATTGGGGAGGGAGGGAGGGGGGGGGGGGGGGGGGGGGGGGTGTGAATTTGTTCACTAAACAGCAATTAACATGGAATGTTTACAAGTTTACCTCATCCAGTCATTAGACCCTTTAAAACTGAAAAAAAAATCTTTTTAATGTTTTTTCCGTAATTGGCGAAGCCCTTTGAAAACTATGTAACTTGCAGACAAAATTTGCACGATTAACAAACCTATTGAATAATTAGGAACAGAGAAGTCACTGTGTCCCAAATTCCAATCCTACAAAAGAGAAATACTATTTTACTCAAAATGAGGAGTGCATCCTGGGCAACGTATCCTCATGCGTTAAAAAAGGTCTATTAACCGGTAGTTGACTTCTGACTTCAAACTACCATGACTCGACTGACTGTATGTCATCTTCGATCACGGTACTCATCTTACCTTACCTTTTAATCTACCTTTGTATCTGTCACCCATTTTACCTCTGTGAATCACTCTTCTGTTCCCCTTCCCCCCCCCCTCCCCTCCCCCACCGTTCACCCTCGACTTTTAGTGACTTTGATGCTTCTCCCCTCAGTGAAGCCCGAAGTCAACTATAGGGCTAATGATAACTATTATAAAGCTTGCCATTTGCTATAAATATAATGTAAAATGAAATTCAATTGTCCAATTTGACGACAAGTGCCAAGACGGATAGGATAAAAAGGTATGTAGGAGTAGATTAGTCGAAAATGTAAATTGACTGTCATTTCGGTGTCTAACTTGCCCCCATAAACAAATTTGGAGATGCATTCCACGTATTAGCGTAACAATCATCATTTTTTCGCCAAAGCTTGTCAATGAGAATGTCAGTTCTATACTTTCCGCGTATTGAGCTTTACTTCATTCCACAAATTCACTTGTTCAGCCAACTTGTCTAGATCAAAATAGGTTATTGTTAATTTAGCTAGCTTTCTATTTTTACTCCGTTGATTACGTCTATGACGAATCAATTCCACACACACACAAAAAACCCTATGATCATGTATCACAAGCAATCGACCGACCACCCATAATAACGAGGGAGGGGGTGGGGGGTGAACACGCACCTTTTTGCACTTGACGTTCTTGACAAGAAAGACACGCGCTACGTAACAGGCGAGGTAATTCTCCGAGAGCATCTGTACGCTGATGTTTCCGTAGGTCTGTGGACCACTCGAAGGCCAATACTGGTCACATTTGCGCTGCAAAGAGAAGAGAACTATTTTGTGAGCGCGGTTAAAAAACCACGAAGGAATTGTAAAGGTCATTGAGTATTTGAAGGAAACAACAACGAATACTCTGCAATACTGAAAACACAAAAAAATGAACATAATTTGAGGGAGCACTTCCAGGTTCCGACGTCTGATGGATGCTATTGACAATAACAACGAAGTTATGACAATGAAGAAATATACAATTGGAGAAAAGGATTCAAGTGAGGATTAAAAGTCCTAATTCCCCGTTACACTTCATCTAACTAGTATACCCACTTAAACTATTCATTAATTTTTTTGCATAATTTTATTGTCTCGAAAAAGGGATTCAGTTTAGACGAGATTTTGGACATAAATCGATAGGTTTAATATATGCATATATTTAGTGGCCTTCAGCTTACTCAGAGTACCTTAAGAACTTTTGCTCGTTTTTACCTCAATCCCGCAGTTCGTCGGGCAACAATCGATGTCCCACATGATCTAGTTTGAATCTATTTCTCCATAATTAAACACAACTATAGCTTACTAGTCTCACGACCATGTAGCCATGCGTACCAAATGTAAATATATTCAACTGTTGTCTCCGGGTCCTTACTAAAGATAAGATAAAGCAATTAATCAAATTAGGAAGGAAGACAGTTGGGTCCATTTTTGACATTTTCAGGCAAGGGACTCGTCTTTAAAAAATGGTCATAGGGGCTATATTTGTTTGAGATTTATTTTTATTGGAAGTTAATAAAAGTATTTGATTGAGATATCGTGTTGTCAAAAAAGGAAACAACTGAAAAGTGCCAAGCTATGATCCATGACCAATACGTGGAAAAGGTTAGCAGTCTCAAGAGAGAAGTGAAAATACAGCTGGCTGGTGTTTCGGAAGAACGCACTCTTGTTAATGACCTTGAGAAGTAAAGTCAGCATGTTCTGGAATATTCTTCCCACTTCTATCCACTCAGAAAGTCATATAAATATAAATAATATAGCTGTAAATTCTAATAGGGCACATATCCAGCCGAACCACTAAGGTAACGGTAATCAATGCGATTACTCACTAATTTCAACTGACAATTACACCAAAAGCTATATAGATTACAGTTAAAGAAAATTGTGCTTGAGGGTTACTGAAACCCATGAAATTAAAACCACTTTCCGTGAAGTACACTCAATCCTCCCTTTCTTTCTCAAATGGGAAACATTTTCCAATCCGTACACGTCTACTACTATAGTCAAGGTCGCGATGGCATTGGTCAGCACGGTCTCAAATAGAACACCTTTGCACTAGGCGTGAGAGAACGTCAAGAGGGTAGGCAATGGAGGGAGGGGGTGGAAGAAAGTCAACAGCCACTCTTTGATTGTAACAATATTATTATTATTGATTCTGCTCGGAGAATGCGGATGGGGGGGGGGAGAGAGCTTGCACTAAAAGTTCGTCCATCCAGAGGCCATGGAAACTGTTAATAGCATATTTATTCCATCTTGGGGGGAAGACACTTTCTTCCCATTCCAAATAACTTTTAGCTTATTTGCATAATTTGTCAATGGAAATGCACAGGAATGTAAGTCTTTTATTCATGAAATACTCAATAGCCATCGTAAAAACTCCAACCGGGATTTACTTCTCCAATTACAACTTAATCCGCCAGTAAATTTTAATCATTAAAAAAAAACAAATCGTCATTTCTCTGTAGAAAGTGTAATATTTGCGTCTTGTTATCTACCCAGTCAAATCGCATTTCAACACGAATACTAGTCGATCCTTTGTCAATAAATTGGGTTGGGGGGCCAAAAGAGGCTTATGGAAGATCAACAGAATGAAACCAAGCTGCACCAACTTAGTGAGGATCACCTAGTGACCCTGTTGACCACTCCCCCCCCCCTTGTCATCTGAATGTTTTAAAGGATAGACGTCTTCCTTTTTTAACAGTCATTGCGGTAACGGCAGCACAAGATAGGGGAAAAAGGACGACAGCAGCCGTAGAACAGAGGAAGGAATTGAATGAGGTGTTTATGGGGACAACGGGGAGAATACATAGCCGCCCAGTATAATGTTAAGGCTGGAAGCCAAAAGACGAGTGGCACAAGACCACCCCAGAGAGGGAGGGACGTGAATGACCTTCGGAGAATACACTCGCCGTTATTTTGCATAAATTTCACTAATTACCTCAATCTGTGCGGCATTCCACCAACACAGGCGAGGAAAATGGTCTAACAGGAAAGACTGCGTAATTCTGGTTACAACGAATTCAGTTAATGAGGAGGAAAGAGGGATAATTGAAACTGTGTCCTTAATTAGTTGATTCCAATAGAGTTACTGAAGAAGCTGAAAAAAATGGTAGATGTCTAAATGGAAACATTGAAAAAATTATTCATCTCATTGAGCGCCTGTCAAAATGAGGCAAACATATTTTAGAAAGTGTCTAAAGAAGGACTCTATTAGCTTTCGAGGTTTCGATTCGAAGTGGAATAGGCGGAAAGTTTTCAGTAAAAATGCCTGACATTGAAGGGATATAATCTCTAAATCGTATCCAGATTGGCCACCACCTGAGACCGTCGACTTAAATGAAATGCAATTTATCATGAAGGTAGGTATATTTCAATCTTTATTACAACACATGAGAGGCGTGTGATAGACTTACCTCCATATGGTGCACCCTGGGCAACGTATACTCTTACGGCAAAAAAGTCTATAAACCGGCTGTTGGCTTCTGACTTCAAACTACATCACCCCACTGTATATCATATTCGACTACTTCCACAGTACTCATCTCACCTTTTTCTACCTTCGTCTTTGAAACACTCTTCTGTTACCCCCCCCCCCCCTCTATGAAGCCTGAAGTCAACTAAAGGGCTAATGATAACTATCTTAACGCCTGCCATTTGATACAAATTTCAGCAGCACATATGTGCAAAACATAAGTTATGAAAAATTATAAAGAACAAACAAGGAAAGGACGCTCACCCGACCACGTTCGACAAAGTTGGAGATCATGACGATGATATTGGAGTTCTCGTCCCAAACCATTTGCCAGAAGTCATCGAATGTAATATCCTTCGGGCCTTGAGCTGCTATGAAAGCTCGTGGACGGCAGAATCCCTGCAAAATTAAAATGGGAGTTTGCATTTTTCCTTGACTAGACAATTTAGGGGAAAGAGGGGATGACTCAACAACATGTCGTCCGTGGTGGCGATGCTAGGATGAGGCAAACAAAAAATGATGACTGTATTAACACGCAAACACACACGCACACACTGGTTTTGGAATTCATTTTGGATGCATAGCGTTCTTTTTAGAAACAATAGCCAATACCTAAACAACCCACACTTAAGTGAATCTAAACTCATATTAGCTCCATTGTGGAGAAGAAACCACAAAGGCCATAAGACGTAATAACCTATTAAGGGGGGAATCAGCAATTACTATTGCTCAGATGTGAATGACGACGTTGGATGAATAGAGAGGTGAAGGGTAACAGTTCTGAATAGACCAACATCTCGCCCACACACACACACACACACACACACACACACACTGCTAGACAGATGAACAAGGCCAAAGGCACTAATGAAGCTGGCGTCTTTTATAGGAAAAATAAAAAAGGTGTTTGAGGGCAAGTTTCGTTTGCAAATAAAATTCTAAATAGAAACGAGCGCTGATGACGCCAAAGCAATCAACTGAGTTAGAGGTGTCCATGACTTCTGTCACTATTAAATGAACGGAATTATCGGTCACACCAAGGGAGAGAGAGAGTGAGAGAGGTAGCTGGAGCGCGACACATCGATCTACCAAATCTGATGTCACGAGATCGCGGTGACTGCACGAGAAATGAAAGCGAAAAAACTAGCCATAAATTGACCACTTTAGCCAATGATAAACTGCCCCCATTCATCATCTCCCCTCTTTGTTTACACAATTGTACTCCCGCACTCACAATCCCCTTCTCTTAAATCAGACTTTTACCCAATGTTATTGTCTTTTATAGTGAGGGAAAGTCATTGGAATTCGTAATACATATTAAAGAATCCTGAGCAGAAAACCTCCAAATGGCAGGAAACTATTGCGTAAAATAAATTTACCGAGAAGATACGTCTAGCACCACACTTAGAATTAAAATCGACCACTTGGGAATCTCATTACAACCGATCGAATGATGTGGTTTTAGCATTGAAATGTTGGTGTGCATGAAGCAACCAAATTGACGTCCCTTGGGAGCAACAAGCAGACGATCTGAAAAAATAGCGAACTCTGATGAAGTAGGATTCCTCTTGGCAGCCTGCGACATTGTGCGAGGAAACTGGGAGGCTTTTGGGAAATAAGTGATGGGAGATACGTGAATGAAGAAATAAGGGGGAAAAGGCAGGATGAGATCCAAACAAACCAGCTCAAAGTTAATCGTCATGGGAAGGGAAGTCACCCCCTCCCCCTCCATTCAGATTACTCAATGAAGTGGAGGGTGGGGAGGGGGGGGTGGTACGTGAGGCAGAACACAGATTAGATGTCTTTACTCCTTTTTCACTCACAACTCAAAATAATCACCAGTTCTGTTGGCCAATAAATTTTCGAGCTCTAAACCATGTTCTTTAAAAAACTCTTGAATCTTGGTACCAACTGAGGACTTAACAGCCCAAAATCCAATTGCCACTTCTCTTCCGGACACTTTACCGTTCATTTCCCCTTTTACAGTGAAGGGCTACATTGAAAGCCATTCAATCGCTAATCTAACTGCATGAAGTATTTTAAAAGTACTCTCGCAGCCTTGTTGAGCCAAAGTGGAGTACACGTATACACGCGTAGAAAGGACCAGTATACAAGCCAAACTGGGAATTCAGAGTGGACATTGCGTAACTCCCGGTCGCTACCACCCGTGTTTCAGCTAAGTGGACACGGAACAATAGATGGCTATCACCGGTACACTCTTAGTTCCTTGAGCCCATTTCCCACCCTCCATAACCCCTTAAACTCTATGGCCTCTCGTATTATTCACCCTGGCTTAATAAAGATCCATATAAGGAATTTTTTGATTAATTCACACCACCACCTACGTCTAATACAAGCGCACACGTAAATGATAATTGACAACGGGTTGAGGGATGCGCTCTCAAGGTCACAATGAGATTGGCCAACACACACACACACATACTGAGTCAGATCTAACCAAGGGGGGAAATAATAAATCCCCCATTTCTCTTGGGTGAAGAATTGGTGAGCTAAGAGAGGGCTTTCTCTCCTAAATGAAAAATGACCAAGGCGGGGATTGAAGGACTGTGTCTTGGAGGGGGAAGGGAGGGGGGGGATGACAATTATGTACGCAGGGCTGTCTGGAAGTCTATTGTCTATCTGATAAAAGTTAGACAATCAAATGATTACTAATAATACAATTTAAACAACGGCCATTCAATTACTATACCCAGCACAACTTACCTTTGATTACAAACGATAGAAGTTTAATATATATATATATATATGTATAGGCGAATGCCAATTTTGTTTTCTAAACCACCCCCAATGAAACGTGCATTATATTGGTGCAGACGCAAGCAAGCGTATATGCACACAAGACAATTACAGAGATAAAAAAGAAAACAGGGTAATGATGGATGTTGAGATGACTAAGGTGGGGGGTCCAAGTGTGATGAAGATGGGTTACACGCTCTCAAAGTGTGTGTGTGAAATCGCGTCACCTGCTGAGCTTCCAACAACCTGAAGCTTCAAATGTGGCAAACCACAAATATCAAGAAAAGAATGAACTTCCTTTTAATTCCTTAGCATGAGCACTGCCATTTTATTCGGAAAAACGTAAATAAAGAAGGAAACTTGAGTCGATTTGCCTAATTCAAGCACATAAATGATAAAACTCTGCGTAAACTTGAGTGGGAAACAGCGACCAAGTCTCAAGACACGATTGGATACTTTCAATGAGTCATAGTCAATAGACAGAGGGGAGGGAGGGAGGGGTGGGGGAGTGAATTCTCCACCTAACCCTATCACTCCTCTAACACGTCCAATCAGATGGGAAAAGAAAAATGGAGGTCTATTCTCTGGAAACACACGGTCTACACTCCTTTAATACACTTGGAACTCTATATAAGAACAAAAGAGGACAAAAAACGGCAGAAATTAATCAACTTTAGGACAGAAAAGCGAAGAATAACCGCCTCCTGAAGGTGTGTCGAACATAATTAAGCAGGACCTATCAAAACAATTATAAATTGCACTTCACCTTTTCATTCATCTAATTAAATGAATAAATAGAAGGATACAAATACATCCAATCATCATCTAGAGTTGTACAAGGTCACAGCAAGGATCACATTTTTTCTGCTAGAATTATCCTTACGGTAGAGTAAAGACTAGTGAAAGTTGTCATTAATTTATCATGACAACATTCACCCCCAAGTTGAAGAAATCGCCAAAAAGTTACAAGAAGCCTGAATACTATTGCCAACGCAAGCCCATAGAGAGCCAGCAAACAATACTGGAATAAAGAAGGAGCAACTCGATAACTTCACTTCTCCACCATCAGCCACCAATTAAATTAGCTTCCAGTAAAGAACAGTAAACAGGAAGATGCCCTCGAGTTTGATAATGGCAGTAGATGAGAAGAGGAGATAAAGTGCACTTCTGGAAGAAAAGGCAAAGGAAAGAGGACACTCGAAGCTTGCTATTGGAATGTGGGCCTAGAAGGAGAGGTGATAGAACAGCGGCACAATAAATCATTCAGACAATACAATTCATAAACAAGTGTGAAATCCATTGGAACACATCTAGTTTTAAGTAACCTCCAATTTCAATCCTTCCACAGGGTATTTTGAACCGTTTATTGATTTTTTCCAGATCATCTGACGCGCACCGCGTCTTTCAAATAAGGTAGAAGGCAACGTTTGGCAGAGTAATAGAGCTACGCAAATTTTCTCCCACATTCGGGAGTGCAAATATGGAGAAAATTCTCTCACACCGAAGAGTAAATTAAGAAGAGGAAACTAGCAGATCCTGCCAGTTTTTTCGTTACCTGGGAACGGGAAGTAAGGCTCAAACGAAACACCACACACAATTCAATCACAGTGAGAACTCATTAATAAAAGCCTCCAAACGCATCTCTTTCGAGTGAAAAGAAAAGTAAATCATTTGTGCTCCCATCACAAATGACGCCTCCAAAAGCGCACAAGAGAGAATTAACAGCATTTTGCCGCTAAAAAAAGGGGGAGACATAAATATTCCGACTGAAGTCAAAATATAGAATGCCATTTTAAGCAATGATTAATGCTTATCTCTTAATGAAGATAATAAGCACGACAATAATTAGCATTTGCACCAGAAGGAGAGTGAGATGCGAATTTGAGGTACAATACAAGGGTGTGTGTGTGTGTGTGTACATTCGTTATTAGATTAGATATGAATAACGAGCCTATCGGCAGGCAAAAAATCTCTATGGTTTAGATAACCCTGGTCATACAATTAATTTGGTTGGGGGGGAGGGGGTGAGGGGGTGTAATCGAAATTAAGTAATATTCGAGGGCTCAAAATTAAAATAGTAATATGATTTCGGGTTAAAGTACACAAATGGGGACTTACATCAACGTAATTGGCGTTGATATAATCCGATTTCCGCCCATTCTTCAGGATTACACGCGTGTGATCATCTACACAGAAGAGAAGTAAAAATACACGCTGCATTAGAAATGAAATTATAAGGAGCTAAAAGTTCAGACTCTTTCAAATTTATTAAAGCCTCTCACAAAGCAATTAAAGGTGTTCAATTGTTAGTGTATATATGCTAAGAAAGCATAAACTTGTTAACTTAATTCGGACAGACAAAAGGTACCTTGGAGACGGTAAATATACTTTGTAACACTAGAGGTCTGTATGGTATGTGTGGACGTCCACACGTTATCTACTGGGCTTTAGAAAGTGTTCATCTGAACCCTGGTCTTCAAGATGGAAGTACGAAATTCGTGATACTATATATTGGTCTTGAAAAGCGGCGGCTGTTGGCATTCATTTGCTTTTTCTTAAACTCATTTAAGTTACCGTTGATCCAACTACCTTGTAGACACGATAGCAAGTTTTCTTCTACACACCAGCGTTAGCCACTGGCTTTGGGTGTGCGATAAACTTACCTCCATATGATGCACCCGGGGCAATGTATACTCATACGCCAAAAAAAGTCATATTCGATCACTTCCAGTGTACTCGTCTAACTCTTTTGTCTATCTTTGTGTCCGTCTCTTTTTTACATCTGTGAATCACTCTTCTGTTCCCCCCCCCCCCCTCCTTTGTGAAGCCCGAAGTCAACTATAGAGCTAATGATAGCTTTAATAAAGCCTGTCGCCAGTTGCTATAAATATAAATATGCATAACCGTTCTTGTGAACCAAAATGCACTGACGTTTCATAATACTTATTTAATTCAGTGGTAGCAATAAAATCTTCTTTGTCATCCATATCTACTATCCAAAATGTCCACACACACACTTTTTACCCTAGCCGGATGAGATCAAATGGAAGAGGCAGAGTAGGCAGGGAATGGCCCACTGATGGACAGTAATAGCGCAGATCATATTATTAATCAACGAGAGGGTGAGATCAAAGTGAAGGAGCCGACCGTGTGCATTCCTTCTCCCCACCCCCCATCCCCCCCCCCCCCCCCCTCGTCTTAATGCCCGTGTATACACCAACAACTGTGGCGAGTTTTGAGATGACTCATTCCTCCCTCCTCTGCCTGCTTTGGGGAAACGTAACAAACCACGCCCTTCAAATTTCATGCAGCGAAAACAGGAGAAAGAGAGAAGGGGAGGGGGGAGTAGAAGTCTAAGAAGATGGGAATTCGAAGAGAAAAAAGATGAATCAGGTAATAGTGTGAAAATAGACAGATGAATTCCTTTGGCGCCTTCAAAAGTGGAAGCAATCCACCAATTTATTGAAGGACAGAATTGATTCTCTATATTGATCGGGCGTGCAGCAATGAATGCTGCGCTACACTATTAGCAAAAGATAATGCCTAAGGCGTAAGCTTTAACTTGAGGTCATCTAGAGATGGATGAACACCAGAGGTTATCGAGAGCAAATGTGAATGTCGTCACATTGAGTAGACATTCACGCCTGAAATTATAGCAGTTGGCCATTCCAATTTGAAACGTCTGTCACCTATACTCCTCAACATTAACAATCGATGAAGTTCTCACCACAACACCACCAAATGGGATAATTTCATCTTATAAGTTCATTTTGATGTTCTCGATGTGGTTTGGATTGCTTTATTGGATTTCTCTGTTCTCAAATTAATTGGCTTGCCCCCACAATGAAAATGCGCATTTTTAACTTGAGGCGAATCATTAAACATGCTTTCGTTTTGCGAAGGCTGAAAAAACGGTGAATCGAACACAAGGCATCTAAATAAACTGTCTAAATTAAAGCAAACACGATGGACGGTGTAGGGTGATAAAAATGATCGAGTTCAGAAGCATGGCAGTGCCCGCATCCATCCATCCACATGAACTAATAACCCACAGGTATAGATCCACTTGTCAAAAAGTCCTTTCAAAACAGCTAGGCTGATTGTAGAAAAATTGAGAGGTGTTGTATTTTCAAAAAATGCGTGCCTAAGACCATGTAAATGCCTCCGCACTCTCCTTTCATTATCCCGAGAAGAATGCTTCTATATGAAATAGGACTATGCACTAGGTAACCAAATTGACCAATGGGAAAAAATGACGAGTAACAATGAAAATCTGTTCGCAATTCTTCATCATTTTGGATACTAGAATAAGGGAGTTGCACTGTACCCCCCCCCCCCCCCCCCCCCCCCCCACCCCCACATCTCAATGCGTGGACCAGTCCAAGCAATAAGCCTCCACCACGAACCACAACAAAAGCACCATCAGAGCTCAAATAAAAAGTAAATACCATCAAACAGTTGAAAAGATTTCTATCTCGTACTCCACAATGTGCCCCTTTAATAAAGCATTACCCATCATTCGAGGCTTGCAAGCAGGGCCTACCCACACGACAAAAATTATTACCGATTCGGTAGAGATAAAGGTGGGGAAGAGGGGGGTGGGGGTAGTAGTGAGAGAGAGAAAGAGCTTACAGGCAAAGACGTTGGTATAGCGATTTTTAGCCATATTGTCCGGTTGACGAGCCACCGATGTTGACCAACTTGTCCGTACGCTCTGCTCGATAGCCTACAAAAAAAGCCAGCGTAGTAGGATGAGAACGAATTCGATCGACAATTAAGTAGCATTATATCGAGATAGGAAATTAAAGGGTGAGGAATCGGGAAGAACCATTAGCCAAACAGAGGAGGGGGAGGTGGGGGAGGTGGGGGGGTCAAATGCTTGTACTAATAAAATCATATCATATTTATAAACCATTTCTGTAAAATGTGAAAAGAACAGAGGTTGAAATGAACCAAGTTGGATTGCATAAGGGAAATCAAGCAGGACTAACATCCAATAGACGACACCATATAAAAGATGAAAATTACTGATTTCCCTGTGGAGAGACGTCAGAAGCGATGGAAAAAGTATGCAGTTTAAAATATGGGAAAGAAAATTCTCCCCCACTAGTAAGACAACTTGAGACCTCTTTTGAATCAATATTAGAGAACGATCCTTCCGATTCACAATTTCTAAAATTCGCTTCAAAAGTGTTAAGCAATTGGTGAAAGCCATTTCCTTGAAACCAAAGACCCTAGAGCGGACTGGCCATTAAAGATAATGAAGTGTGTGAAATGAAAACAAGGACAGAAAGCCATAAAACCCGCAACATACACACACACACACACGCTCACTCGGAGACATTCAAGCATTCAGATCAATGATTAGGACATCCGAACAAGGAGAGGGAAAAGATCAAACAACGTAGAGGAGATAAAAGAGGGCTCGTGCTTAATAATGTTGGTACTAAATGGCAAAAAAACCAAAACCGATTACAATTACCAGACTTTAAATTCCAATATGGGGTAAAAGTGTGACATTGGTAAAGTGATTATCTGTGCCCATTGATACACACACATCCCGAGAATGGGATGATCAGTGGCATTGATTAAGGAGGCTGGTAGAATTCGAATTCCCCCCCCCCCCCCCCCCCCCACGACATCAATCACCTAGCCAAACCGATTGGAGGAAAATGGTTCCCAAACTTCCCAGGAGGCTAGTCATTATACGTCAATTTTAATGCCAGTATTCAATCATGAAATTGGATAGAAAAGTTAGTAGTTTTTAAACGTTCAATGAGGGGAAATGAAGGTGAACTCTGTGATCGCAGAGCGCCCCCAGCAGGGCTCAAGGCTTGCTTCCTAGAACGAAGTCATTTGAACCGAGGAGTAAATAGTTCAGTATGGAATTGACTTGTAAATAGAACGACTATGATTCTTGTGCAATCTCTTGATTACACTATTGAAAGGTCAGTTCAACTTTTATCGAAAGCAGACAAAAGCACACACCCGGTGCTTGGATGCCAAGTAGACGATTTTTGGCATCAAGTACACTAAAAGACAGTACTCCTAATTTCATTTCTCCTATATCAAACTAGCCCAATATTGGACTCCTCTCACATGCAGATCTAGGCAAGTAAGACTAACAGTGATGAGTCCACCGTTGCCAGTATTGATCAACTAGTCAGCAGTGGATCGGTCTTTTCCTGCTACCTCCTGGGGTCTGGGTAATGTGTAGTACACCTCTCCCCCACCCCCACCCGCAATCAAAAAAGAGGCAGCAATAAAACCTGAAATGGACCATTTTTAGGGAGAGATTAGATGATGGCGCCAACTCCCCTTTCATATCATAAATATGCACTAATGGAATCGATAAGAGATCACTGTGTGAAGTAATTCGATAGTTCACTCCTCGTGAATATTTTAAATGAAGCGTGTATGATGACATAGATTTGAGACAAAAGAGTGTATATGCTTAAGTGGATAGAGAGTAATTTGTGAAGATACTTTAAATATATTTTTTTCATTTCCTAAATTCAAACACTACAAGGATTGACAGACTTCGACCCTCAACAGACATCCAAATATATAGGCTTCAAACACTTTAAGAATTTTACTAAAGAAAATAATCAGATCTCCAGGTAACTAGAATAGAATGTGATTATTATTGGGAGGAAACCATTTTGAGTGAGCCCTAGTGAGACTAGTTCAATTAAGATATTACCAATGGGATCGTCAAGAGCCACTTACGTTAGAAGAGGTTAACAATTCAATAATAGCTACGGCACCTGGTGAATCAATAAAATCGATTAAAGAAGGGTTGATTTTATGACTTTGAGAACCTCTTCCACTCCCCAAAGCCGCAATAAAATTTCGTACAGTAAAGAGACTGAGTATTAAAAAGATAAAAGGTTAATCAAACACTCGAGAAAATAAGCTTTCTCAGACAAAAATTAATCCTTATCACTAATGGTGCAATCCTATCTTTGAACATCTGTTGAAAACAAATCAATAGCTAAAAAGCGGCGCAAAGTGCATAAGAGACCTGATAGCTTACATCAAACTCTGCCTGATATCCGGCATCATCGTCCACATGGTAACTGGCGACATGCTCGGCCAGCTTCTCTGCCGGAATGGGTTTGCTTGGACTATCCTCAAAGCGTCGCATCTTCGGCGTGACTAAAGGGGTGCGGACATCGTCCAGACGATCCAACCCACCGCTTCCACCACCGAGTCCAAAGTCGTCGCCAATAGCACCCCCAACGCCCAATCCACGACGCTTGTAGACTCGCGAGGAGCGACTAAAAGAGAAATAAACAAGCGCTTGATCAAGAGGGGGAGATGTAAACCCAATGCAATGTGTAGGACTTTGAAGCACTCAGATCCATCAAATAGTTGCTCGGGTATTTTATATTCTCAAAGAAGTGGAATCAATATATGCCTTGTCTGTCATTTCTCATCTGTTCAAAATCCTACTACCAGCGTGTTAGGAAATATGAAGTTATAATTCCAGGAACACAAACAAATTTACAGATTTCAATCGATGAAAGCAGGAACACTACTGTTAACTAGAATATTTAATGACCCTAATTGGAATAAGTCAATAAAGCTTTAAAAAAGATCTTCGAGGCTTTATCATACAGCGGATACCCCCACAAAGAAACATAATCCAAACGATATGGGGAAATCGGAGATTTCAAAGAGCAGCAGAGGTGTCAATGATGCGCGCACACTATTAGCAAGCGCCTTGCAAGTAACGATGTGTTGGATAAGTAATTTGACCCTTTAACGAGCGAATTATTTGTTTTTTTTTAGAAAAACACACCCAGCCGCACTCATGCGTGATTCACAGCAGCAGCAGACTGATGCCACCGAAGTGATGAGTTTTGGTGGTGTATCAGGCGAAGGCGGCTATAGACACGTGTTGAGCATATTTCCAATGGCAATAGCACCTTTAATTACGATTCTAGAACCAATGGAGCTTATTTTGAGAGAGGGCCGTACGGTCCAGCAGCACGTTAAAGAGTTTCGCGTATGAGAGGAAAAAATGGCGGACTTTAATCAAATATAAATGCCATTATTAAGATGGAAAACATCACTAAAAAACGGAAATGAGGGATTAAGAGACAATACACCGTCAAAGAGACAAATAAAGAACAATGCTGAGAGAGAGGGAGATGGAAGGTGTGAATGCTAATGACTCAGGTGAATAGCAATGCTCGATGCGACGGGAAGAGGGTAAGTTTTAGGCAAAACAGATTGAATTGCCAAATGTGAATGTTATGTCATCGGCTAATTCATTGTTCATGTGAATGTGTGGAATATTAAGCAATAGCCCTTATGATCTCCAAAAATACCCTCCAGTCTCAAACACACACACACACGCGCGCACCTCATCGAAATTAACTCCAACCCGAAGCACTAATCTTGTAAACAACCCTAAAGGAGAAGGTAGGCAATAAAGCTGATAAAATGACAATGTCTCCTTGATTCACAGCTAAGGCTTTTGAGGTGTGGAACACACAAGCGCTAAAGCTGAGAATTACTTTCACAAGTTGAACTCAGAAACTAGTGTGTGTCATTGATTTTGGAAACGCGAAAATTTTCTGACTTGTTTCAAATTCCCACAGAAAAAAAGGTGAAAATTAAATATGCTAACGGAGAGAGAACTTCGTCACTCGTGATTTCAATCAACCTGGACCCCTTCTTCTGCTAATACGCAAGTGATTGATTGATTGATTGATGGAGGGTGAGGGGGGGGGGGTAATGATAATTTAATTAGCGCAGGCGGTCTCTTACCCTACTACTTAGAGTGATAGTAGAAAACTGACGAGAAATGTGAATACGGTGATGGTTGCGCGTGAGAACTGAGAGTATCTAGCTAAAATCCCCCCCTCGAATTCATATTTGATGAGAGAAGAAATGAGAGTTTGCATATGGCCTTTTGACCCTTTGACCCAATCTAAGTGTGAGATATAAATTATCTAATGCTAATCACAAATTCATTGGATGAGTTTTATTGCTTGTAGGAAATAAAACGATGCGATTTTGTGGTTATGTAATCACAAATTCCTCGTAACTAAGCATTACATAGGGAGAAACCTCCGAGCGATTGTGAAAAGGGGATTAAAACCTCTCATACAAATCAGATATGAGTATATTTTGTCCATTAACTAAACGTGGGCCAGCATTTTCCACTTCAATCTAGTGGGAATCCGCTGAGGAAAAAGCGTCAGCACCATGTTTATTACAGGGTGGGTCTTTTGAAGCCAAACTTGCAACACTCATATTATATCACCTCGCCTAATGACTGGCATTAACTTAGGGTGATTGATTACCCTAATCCCACTGAAAGTGCAACGGTTGACACCGACCACGTGACTTCTATCATGACAGACGAGCACGTTGGCCGCTGTGCAAGAGATCTTCATTTTCATTGACGAGTGTGCGCCTCGTGACCCCAGACTTAATTGTCAAATGGATTGGTTTCAACACCAAGGTCGAGTAGAAAATGAGTTATTCGAATCAGCGGACTGTAGGAGGTGATAAATAGAGAGGCGATGTTGTGACAGAGAATACTCCCCACAATGGTCGTTTCCCCAATTCGACTGAAAAGATGTAAATGGAAAGTTGTCTAACGGGATTCCAGAAACATCCTTGTTTATATAGCCAAGAAAAGGTATAGTGAGAGGTTTTAAGAAAAAAACTATTTGAATGAGGAAAAATCAGCCCCCCATACCAACATGAAGTCCACTTGATGCAAGTGAAAAGTTGCTTAATCACAACGACAACTGTGTGAGTTAAACGCGATACCGTAACAATTCTCCTCCACTCCCATGATTGCACACACACACACACACACAGCAGTGCATTAAGGGATGTGTACACCATTCCCCCCATCTACACCCTAAATGGCAGATAAATCACCCCCCCCCTCTCCCAGCATTTTGACTAGTTTTTTTTGCGTCCACTCAGTCAAGAGAGTACTCACTCACCAGTAGAGAAATACGAAGATGCAGACACAACAGATCATGAGAAAGATGACAAAAACAGCGCCAATTATGCTTCCGATTGCCTTATCACTCAGTTCCCCAAAGCGAGTAGGATGGGAACTCATCTCGTCCAGACCTGCGAAGAAAAGAAAGAAGCACATCTTACTAGCGACCAATCATTGCGGCATAATTGCTTAGACGAAAACAAGAACCCTGGGCATGTCCTCACAGAGGGAGAGAGGGGACATGATGGCCGCCAAAATGCTATTTAAAACCTAATTTGTATTAAAATTTACTCCATTCATCTTCCAACAACAACAAAAAATAAAAATCGGCGTAAAAAATAAATTATAAATGTGGATTTTTTCGACGTAACTATAAGAGGAGGACATTGGCGGATTGATGACAAACCCAAAGAGGATTAGCCAGCCAGCCAGACAAGAGAGATTAATTAGTCCACTAGACGGACGTTGCAAGTTTAAATAAAAATGGGGAAAGAAGTCTAATAGAATTTTTAATTGAATAGCAGTCGATAATAACACCTTCACTGCCTATGCACTCACACACTCAATGAACCTTCTCTTCCTAGGCACTACGGTTACCCATGAAAAATTGTCATGACAACTTACGCCCGAGGTCTATTTGAATAATATTCGACAGGTTGCTAACTTCCACACAAGGCCAATCGATTTTGCAATCCCGTGGGAGACATATTGTCTGAACTGTAAAATTGCGGATAACCTCATGGTCCCATAGACGCTTCACATCTGAGAAGGAGAAGGTGTGCTGAGATGAGAAAAAGAAAGAGGAAACACGTTAATGAGAGTTTTAACTAAATAACAATTTAAAAAAGTAATAACTGAGTTCAAATCCACTTTTACACACAAATGTATCCCTTTTCAAGGCAATCAAAAAGTATCCAAATAAGCCTATAGGGCATATTGGGAAATCAAAGTGTACATAGGTAACAACCATTTTGGTTAACATTCTGACACAACATTGGCTCTTTATTTATCACCTCCTACAGTCCACTGATTCGAATAACTCATTTTCTACTCGACCTTGGTATTGAAACCAATCTATTTGGCGATTAAGTCTGGGGTCACGAGGTGCACACTTGTCAATGAAATTCCAGTGAATGAAATGACCGTTGGTTAGTGTTGGTCAAAAGGGATGATTGAACGACCTTTCCCCAGTTATAGATATTATAAGTTGTGATTGAAAGATACGCTTCCTCAACAGAAGGCTAGTTGGACAGTGGCTAACGTGCGCACGTCTGTCATGACAGACAAAATGAGACCGGTGTCGACCGGTGTACTTCCAGTGCTACTTGGGTGGTCGTCAAGCACCCGCGATAATACTAGGCATTAGGGGAGTGGCTTCAGGAGACCTTCACACCGAAAAAGTTAAGTGCTGTAAACACTTAGAATGAATATGGTGCTGGAAATTCTTCCTCAGTGAATGCCCATTATATTGCTATGCAATGTGAGAGGGGTAAATTGAGTTTGTGTTTCTCAATCAAGGAAACACTTTTCTTCAACGAGGATTCGAAATTACGAATTGTTATTTCTGAACTTTGTGGTTCCCGTTTTTTGAGCTTGTTTACTCATTCCAGCAACGAAGTTCTCTTCTTTTAACCTCCGACTGGTCTTTACCTGAAGCCGCCGACGCTCGTCCATTTGTGCTTTTTTAAACTGCCTTGGTTAATGAGTTAATGGGAAACAAACATCCAAAAGGCTAATATATCGTACATGCCAAATCCGAAAATAAACTAAACAAGCCTGGCTCTACACTACACTCTACGTTGTTATTTCTTGGGCCGATTTCAATTTCTTTCCCATAGAACAAAGTGATAAAATTGTTTATCTTTCTGTGGACTTACAATAATAGAATGAATGAACTACTTACAGAAAAGACACCGCCTTGCTGGAAGGTGGAATTAAAGGACACATCTTCGCAAATTCCGGCTGATGACTTCATGCAAGGGCGAAACCAATGAATTCCATCGGGAGAGGCTGGAGGATCGTTGAATATCCAAGAGACTTTAATTCCTACCGAAGTGTCTGATATGTCTGAGAGGACGGGCGCAGAGAAGGCTGGAGTAAAAGGGGCTTCTTTAAATTTAAATTTACTTTTATGAGGTAACTCGATTTGCACATTCATAAAACATCATCATTGTCAAGAATTTATAACCCTTTAAACGTCACAATTTGAAAAGAAAGACAATAGAACTCTGTTATTGGAAACTTTCTGTTCCTGCAAGAATTTTATTTAGGACGTGTGAATGTAGAATGTGAGCAATTTGACAGGATGTTCGCCTGGTGAAACCACAACTATATAAGGAGAAAAGGAAAGTCCTTTAAAAAGTGGAATTACCATTCAGCTATCCTCTTTGAAATTGCCGAAAGATCTAAAATTCAATCTTTCATCTCTAAAATAAACTTCACATTGACAACTGTAGATTCCACAGAAAAAAATGTACTGGTAATTCGTTTACAGCTTAATTTCTAGTCATTATGGCAGAAACGACAGAAGGGCCATTAGTTTTCGTAAAATTTTACTTGAGTCACAAAGTAAATCCTCCCCCCCCCCCCTCTCAAACTACCGAAGAAGGCGTGTGGCTCAAACAAACGAAACACCGAAATAGATTTAAGTGTGTGACTATATCAAAACAACTTGAAGAGAGGTAATCAAAACTTACCAGAACAAGTAGTAAATCCTTCAGTAAGTGGACTCAGACTCCCCATTCCGACTGAAGTCCTAGCAGCCGCAGCTAATCGATAACAGGTGGCACTTCGAAGTCCCGTGATATCAAGGTAGGAATCCTTTGTTTCTGCTGAATTCACCGTCGAAGAGTTGCTACACTCTGTCCACTAAGAAGAGAAACGCATTAAGCGGTTGAAATTGATGGTCCAAAACAATCGAAAAGGGCTAATAATAGCCAATTAGGAGATCCAGATTGAACGTTACAAAAAGACACCGATTGATGAATTAGGCATTAAGATTGAAGACAAATTGTGAGTATTAGCTCTTAAAATTCGACGATTCAAGACGAGTGCCGCCATCATAACACGTATAGATAAAAAAAAATCGATACTGTTTCTCAAACATCCTTGGCTGGAATGCCATCGGCACAACCACACCATGAGCGGAATAGCCGAACACAATGATTAATTTTGAATGATACAGTGGCTAGACTAGAGTTTCTCACCAGGAAGGCTGCATGTCACACGCCAAATAAGATTAGCGCTTTGGAAAAGTTTCGCCAATCGGAGCCGGCAATTACTATCAATCACAACTAAAAACAAAGTGTCCGAACAAATGAAAATGAAAGCGCACTAGAAATTGACCCACTTTGAAGCCTACGGGGAATGGAATTGAAAGGTCCGATTCATAAATAGGTAGGCTGGGGCAAGACATATCAAAATGAAAATAAAATAGGAATTCCGTATTTAGGATGCTATTTTCAACTCAAGTTAGAAGTCAAGGCGACAAAGCTAATCACTTCCAACGGCTTGAATGGATGAAAGACCAGACTTAACAGGGTCAAGTAAAATAAACAGATGAGGACTTCCATTCAAAACAGCAAATATGTAAGCTATTCATCGTTATTATTGATACGGAAAGAATGTATTCGCAGAAACATAAATTTGTCTAATTTTATAAAAACTTCAGTGTCATTGAAGTCATCCATGAGAAAGTCAACTAGACATATCATAGGCCAAATTAATAGGCTGGCATTTTGGACAGACAATGACAACAGGGAGTTCTCCAAGTGAGCGACCCGAACTCCATCATCGCCACAAAATTGCATGAAGGCAGATAGATACCCACCAAAATCACATGCAAATATAAAATGAAAAGAGGTCGATAAAATTCCAAAGGATAAACTCAATTCAACTTTTTTTAAAATCCAAAAACTATGTGTCCTTATATCTACCCGTAAAACATTATTAAGCAAAAGGGCATTCATCAAATAAAACGTGGTTTAAAATGACAAACCTTGAGGTAATATCCTAGAACGATGCCTCTGTTATTTGAAGAGGTAAAACTGACTCGAAGAGAATTCGTCGAACGTGATTCAACTTGCAAAGAGGGTGGTTCAGGAACACCCTCTAAAGTCGTGAAATTGAGGGTTTTAGGAGGTCCGAAATTTCGTCCATTGGAGAGAGACAGGTTTGCTCGATAGAGAGTATAGGGCAACAGTCGATCTACTGTATATGACTAAACGACAGAGATGTTTTTTAAAGCAAACACCTACCTCCGTTTGATTGTCCATTGTCAAGTTAATGGTACTCTTGAAAGAAAGGGCCTCTAGAGTTAATAGATATCCTCTAAATGGACCATTGAGATGTCCCCTGGGTGAAAAGGCTCCAGGACAAGTAAAGGGGCCATCTGGAATGGGGGAAATTTCACCAACAGAAAAGTTCAAAGACACAGAGGTATTGGTGAAAGAGTCGAGAGTAAAAATTGGAGTAGCAGTAGGGATGCCAGGATCAGTGCAAATTATTTCACTCCACGTTTCAATACCCTTACCAAGTTGGTCGTAAGGTGTGAGAGAGACAAAATACTTCGAGAAGGGATCTAATCCATCAATTGTAAAGGTTCGCTCAATCGCTGATACGTTAAAAGTCTCATTCCGTGACCTTTAATTGTAACGAAAAAAATAAATAAATTGTAAAAAGCCTACCCAAAAACTCGAATCTCGTAAATAGTTGAATTTGGCACTGGTGCTTTATCTCGCCAATGTATGGAAATGGAGGATTCATTATCGGCAGTTAACCTTATAGAACTGGGAGGGATGGGAATGTCTATAAATGAAAAGGAATAAGATAAATGATCACTTACCGAGAACAAAAAGTGTCCAATACAAAGAAACATTGTCATTACAAAAACACGAATAGTTTCCTTGATTCCGCAACGAACTGTTATAAATTGTAAGACTGTCCAAAGATAGCATGATATTGCCAAATTTATGAGTGCTTGTGGAGTTTAATGAGTGGTTAAAGGAAGGACCGCTCCATAAAACGATACTATCATTCTGAATTCTCTCAGTTAGAGGACAATAAAAGGAAACGTTCGATCCCGATCGAGTATACTGTTGGGTATAAAATAAATGCGATGCAAAATTGACATTGCTGTTGTTCGAGTCCAAAGGAGTAGGAAGACTATATACAAATGGGCAGTGGAGAAAAAATTGGTGCAACAGCAAAAAAATCCACAACATTATTTCAATTAAGTAGGAATCAATTCATGTTATGGGATTATTAAATAATATCTACAGCTAAGCACATAAGGCAGGCTAATTTTTCAAAAGTGCGGACTACTTGAAGGTAAATAAAAAGTTTACACAAAGACGTACAGTTTTGATTTACTACAAGAATTTTATATTTGTCAAAAGCAATATTTTAATTTCTATTACATAGTATATTTGGTTCAATGAGTTGATAATATGTTATCTGAAGTGAAAAAATTGAGACAACTTTTTAAAGGAATTGTACTCAAAAGAACTCATCTGCGCCAACCATGTTGCCGTAATCCAATTGGCCCTTATTGGTCGAAAAGTCAGTTCAGAAATGAGAAATTTATAATTCGCCATCTTTTAAATATTCAATTTCCTTATTCGCACTCTTTACAATAATCCGTTATCTTACTGCGGTAAAAACAGCAACAATGTGGAAAATGCGAAACTATATATTTGATAGCAATGTTCAGTTTTGCATAACTGTGAGTTATGTTTGTGTTTCCATCACAGTTTATGTATCACTTTATTGAACATATTAAGGGTGTTAATTTTTATCTTGTAATGCATTTAAATATGCCAAAGGTCGATATAGAGTAAAACAGAATGAGTTTCGACATTCGATAATTTTAGTAAGGTACGCTCAGCAATATACAACGTTTTCATTATTGAGTGTGCTCAGAAGAAGTCTATAACCTTGGTATTGCGAATGCTTGAATTTACACAGCATATTAAGTTTATTATCATAAATTTTGTTCTGCAGCTAAGATGTAAGAAGGTATGCCTTATCTCCCAGTTTTTTTGCATCGAGAAACCAGGAAGAAAACGGTCAAAGAGTACTGGTAACTTGAATTACTTACTTAGTTAAGTAAAGCTAATCTTGATTAATAGATTAGTCAACGTTTGTTATAACTCGGCTCACAATGACTGTCGCTTATACGTGCCATTCCTTAGCATAGTACTTTTTTGAAGATTCATGGAAAAAAAATTAAATGGAACTTTTCATCTTAATCTGAAGTCTGTGAATGGAAGGAGAATGCTGTTGGAACAAGATTAAGTTGTCTTTTGACAAAGGCTAAAATCAGTGAAAATCGATTGACGCCAGGTTTATTTTTATCAGCCAGTGGGGCTCTAGCTCATATGGTAGAGCGCTCGCTTAGCATGCGAGAGGTGCTGGGTTCGTTACCCAGGTGCTCCATGTCTCCGCCACTTTTGGGGTGTGCAATTGACTTACTTCCTCGTGGTGCACCCTGGACAACGTATACTCATACGGCAAAAAATGTCTATTAACCAGCAGTTGACTTCTCACTTCAAACTATGACCCCACTGTATGTCATATTCGACCATCCCCACAAAACTCATCTAGCCTTTTCTCTACCTTTGTGTCTCTCTGTCTCTTTTACATCTGCGGATCACTCTTCTGTTCCCCCTCTCGACCTTATTGTCACTTTGATGTTCACTCTCCTCCGCTCTGTGAAGGCCGAAGTCAGCTAAAGGGCTAATTATAGCTGTCAAACCGCCTGTTATTTGAAATAAATATAAATGTTTATCACCCGTGTTTGTTGATGTTGATGATTCAGGCAAATTACTAGATATCGCTTTTGGTGGAATGAGCTAAATGAGAATGTGCATTTGCTGGCCTATGGACACCCTGGAGAAGCATGCGATTATTTTACTTAGTAATTCCGACCTGCTTACTTGGAATTAATAAGCTCCCTTCTGTTAGCAAGCCCGTTTAAACACATTGAGTACATGTCTATTTATACAAATGGAGTACATCCGCAGTTATAATTGTCAGATTTTGTATTTTTTTCAACAGATGAACAAAGACGTAAGGCGATCAACTCCACATGGAGCAGTGGAAGCCACCCAGAATGTAGTTATTAAGGAATTTGAAATAATCTAAAATCTTAAAAAGGCCGCAATAAATAGTGGAGAACAGCAAGCCAAATATACTTAACCACAAGGTCCATTTGTATAAGAGTTAAGAAATGAGCGGAACCTTACCTGGACCACTCTCCTTACAGTGGTCTAACATGGCCCCGTTACCTCCCCTTCTCTGATCACTTGCAATCATTTATCAATTATACCTCATATCCTTTACTTATGCCGAATGCTAAACTAAACCCCTCATTTGGAATCGGCTGATGTCCAGTGTCAGTTTATTGGGTATAGAAGTAATCCTGGGAGAGGATATCAAGGACAACTTTGTCCGGTTCATAAATTAACCCCACTGATTTGAAAAGTGCTACTTTAATTTACTAATCCATTGCTTCAGAAATTCTAGGTATTTTGGGAATAAATAGAGGTTCTATATTTTGTCAAATGGCACAACAACTCGATAATAGCCGAGAAAATTTAAATAAACCATTAAAGCAAATATATTATCAGCGTAAAAAAGATAAATCAAAATGTCCTTATTGGATAAGACGAATTTGCTGTCAATTAAATTTGGGTTTCGGTGAAACACGTATGGTAAATTGGCCTATGGAAAGAATTCCAGATTATGCAAAAAAGAACGAATTTACAAGCGGGAATCTGCAGTATTTCAGCATTCACTATGCAATTAACACCAAGACTCGTAAGAGCTCCTCTTAGTAGACCGCAAGCGAAAGCCAAAATCTTAAATAGTGTTAATAAAATGAAGTAAACATACCATTTCCACATTTGAGTTGTACTGTTGACTTGGATCAATTCGAGTGAGGGATGAAAAGGCAGAATCAAGAAGAACATATACATCCTGGGAAATTGATGGGCAAATCAAAGCTTACGGCATTATTTGTTTTCAAAGAATCGACAGGTTTATAGAATAAGTGTAGCCAATAAGTACGACAAATATACTTAACGATATCAATCTCAGAGGTAAATCTAGGCGAATTTCTCGTCAATCTTATAATTGATTAATTTCGTTAAGAATGCTACTTTTCAATGTAACGCTGTCCTATTCGATAACCCATATTTTCAATCAAATTCATGGCCGTTGCGTGACCGTCAGAAAGCTATATTACAATAGGTAAGAGATTCAATACATACGGTTTTAGTTTGGTTTGTGAAATATTTGATCACTTCGTAGAATAAAAACTCAAACGCCTGCTTAGGCCCATCAGTCTCACCCATATTTTCCAGCTATGGTAGAGCAAGTAAATTACACAAGCTAAATCTCTTCGACCTTCAGATTTATTGAATTATCTAGTTAGTGGTAAATCTAAAAAACGGAATTAATGACATTAAACCTAATAAATAGGATTTTAATTTCTTAAACCTAGGTAAAATTGGAGATACAATCGATATTAACCTTTGAAATTCTTTCTTAGTGGGTCTTACGAGAAACCATTTCCCTAAATCAAATTAAGTGGACCATCACGTTCCCCGGTATTGAATTTTTACGCTAGCTTTTAACGTATTTATCGATAAACATAATTTAGTATCTGATATTGGATTCATAACTTGTGCTATTCTGTTTATCCTTTACTACGTCATATGAAGATATGTGATTCTTCCACATTTTAAGTTTAAGCCCATTATTAATTCTATTTTAAGTAAATTTGGCACAGATGGCATGGATAAGACAAAAAGGATTAAAATGTTTTCGATTTATCTATTTTCGCTTTATTTTTCTATTTATACTACATGAGTAGGGTTCAATGTCGAAATGAATACCTTAAAGCTTCGTGACGAAATTCAAAATGAAAGTGAAAGACATCAAAATTTCTCACACAAAAAGATCTAAATTTAACTAACTAATTTGTCAAACTTTCATTTCTTTCCACTTGTCGATGAAGCCTGATTAAAATTATTTTTATCTGAATATTATTGCGCTTGACGCCGGAGCATTTTATTCATATTATTAAATCTCTCAAACAACAAATTTAAGTAACCTGTATGCCTATAAATTATAAATGAATAGAAAAAAGTTGTTTTATATGAAACGAATGTTATGGAGAACAAATGCTTGACTTTGTGAAGACTAGGAAAGTTCACCCCGTGGCTAAGAATTATCAAGTTAATTAAATCTATTTCTATTTGCATATTCATCTATTAAAAGTTTTCCTTTTGTGGAGATAAGTGTGATATGGAAAGTATGTACAATTGAATATAACTTTTTGATTCAAGTGCTACTTAATCGATTTTGATGCAAAGTCCAAAAGATGCTTAAATTATGGATTTATCTCGAAAGCTCGTATTGGTAACAGGTAAAAATCGAACATTGAGGATTTTTGTTTGGTATCGAAGCGTCAATACTTTAGTTGAATGCAAAAGTGATAAATAAAGGAAGCCAAAATATTGCCACATTTTCATTCCAGGGGCATTGTACTCCCTACAGAGTGTTTTTGTGCTTTATTAGTCAGTTTAGTGCCTCCATGTATTGCACAACATACCTCTATTCTGACAGCTACCTACCAACGAATAATGGACTTGAAATCAACAAACGTTTTATTGTTTCCTAGTTTTCCTGCTCCTCATATCCCCGACTGTCCTCTCTCATTACCGTCACCTTCCTCCTTCTTCCCTCTCGTTCATTTCCATTTGCCACGTTAGACAAAGAGCAACATTATTCTTGGTCACCTCACTCTATATAAGTTGTCGTATCCAGTTAACCAATGAAACTGTACTCTAATTTGCCCAAACTCTAAAAATAACTTTGCTAAGGAAGAGGAGTGGGGGGGGGTAGGATAAAAGCTACTTTAACTTCATCAGTGATAAAAAATACGGTTAGCATTGACGCGTATTGTAATCTTGATCATAAATCAATTCACGAATAAATGCATAAATGTGGCATTTATTTGTGAAATTGTTTCTTATCGATATAAGACAGTCTTTGAAATAAATATCTATGCCATATTACCGATTTAAGGTCGTAGTTAATTAGGGCTTATCTACATATGAACAGTGTATAAACCTACTATTTATATGATAGAGACGCTTATACACACATTTTTAGCATAATTGCTTAGTTATATAATGAGGAGTAGATTAAAAAATACGAAGCTTTTCGTGACATGCCAACTGTGGTTGGAAATAAGTAAACATTTTACTAACGCCCTGTTTTTTTAGAATAATATTTGGATAAAAGATGCATAGCTAGTAGATCCTAGAGCACTGAAGTGAGGTGTTTTTGAAATTAGATTATTGCATTTAGAACATTCTGACGTACTAATATTTTAGATCCTATTTCTTTTTGAATATTTGACTTATTATACTTATTTCCTGAGATCATATGAACACTTGTTTATTTATTCTTAATCTGGTTCTTCATATGACAGACTTGATTTCGGAAATATCGAAAAAGAGAACTTATTTTCAACAGCAAATTACTGTTGACTATGGTTTCAAAATGCCGACATAGACTAAATAATAATTGCATGGTAAATTACCTCCTTAACACAGACTATGAAAAGTAAAAGACAATAAGTTTCAGTTAAGTTGCCCTTATATCGATTTTTCGATCTGAAGTATATAAATTAAACAGCTGTGAATATCTTATGCTTTTGCTAATTCCTATAGCAAAACATGTTCCCTTCTGGACAATTAAACTTTTAATCGATTGCGTTCATGAGCGCACTAATGTGGGTTTACTTGGTTTATCGATTTCCAAATTAGCCACATGACCTAATTAATTTTGTCAATTTAAAAG